TTAAAATCTACTGCTTTCTCTGGATTTGCCGGCAAGGACGGTGTCGGACGCTTCCGCTGCAAACAAACATCGCAACTACTCTCAACCTGTTCGGCTTCTTTCAAGGCTTGTTCAGTAGCCCCTGCATTCTTCAAGATTCTCAAAAGAGTACGACTTGATGGATGGCCTAAATTATTATGCAACTTCTTCAACGTGTTTTGTACTTTCGTGGGGTCCTGAAGAGCTGCCGCTGCGGCCAACACTTCCTGATGGTCTAGGCTTTCACTCACTCCGTCCATCGGGGTTTCCTGCAGTTCAGCAAACATGCACAACCTACTCTGCGGAAGAATGCTCGAAAGCCAAATCTCAACAAAATGTTTTGTGTAAATGGCCGCCAATGCACTTCGAGACGAACCCTGCAGAGTATGACCTGCAATCTCCTGATGAACCTGATGACCTGGACACGTTAACACACAAGGCTGCATGTCTTGATGGGATACTGCCAGTCCTGTAGGCTTCAACACTGGGAGTTGATTGTCCGGATCCGAAAGGCCATACGCACACATGTCTGCTCGATGTAGGGCCAGTTGGCCTGACTGCAACAACTTCTGCATCGGAGGGTACTTCCACATATCACTCGACCAAGGGTGCTCCACAAGTACTCGACCTCCTCGCTTCAGTTGTTTCTTGATTTGCTGCACACAAAAATCAACTTGGCTCTGAGCAATGCGCTGATTCCGGAGCTGTGTTGTCAATGGGAGTTTGTGCTTGTTCAACCTGTACCAACCACCCCAATGTTTGCATTCCGGACAGCACACCAGCAGCTCGGGGGCTTCCTCCTCCAACTGCTTGCTCACCAGATGTTGTTGTTTCGTGTTTGTCAAATCCCAGCCTTGTTGGATGTCGAAGGACAAACCTCGCTCCCCTCGTGCTTCCACCTGACGCGAGAATCGAGGGGGAGAGAACAACTCTGCCACTGTGCACTTGCTCTGTCTCTGCTTGTCCCAAGCTTCTGAATGGGCTAACAGACAGCGCTGTTCTCGTCTTGTCATCGCTCGAGTAGGACCTGCCAGCCACTGATCAGTGTCTGTCTCCTGCTCTTCTCTCTGTGCCAGCTCGGGCTCATCACTGTCCACGGCTGCTGAAAACAACACTTCTGTCTGATCTCCCTCTTCTGCATCTTCCAGTACGTTCAGGATGAACTGACCTGACGCGTTGACCTGAAGAGGACGGGGAGGGCCTCCTTGAAGAGAAACCGTCTCTGCAGCAAAGTCCAACTTGGCGTCCAAGCTCTTGAGAGTGTTCCTGGACAACAGCAACGGAGCACGACCTTTGATGATCGCTGCCTCGATACGTCCTCTCTTCCCGTGAAGTCTCACAGGCATTGACACCACCCGCTCAGATAGCTCCTCCTGGCCATTGCCAAATCGAAACAGGTTCTGCTGTGGCTTGCTCTCGGGGACATCCATCTCCTTCTCCTGGTACAGCCTCATGAAGTCATTCAACGTCTGTTGTCCGACCAATGTACGACTGCAACCGGAGTCAATGATGCCAAACCCGGGAGAGGATACAAGGAGTACTTCATCGGTGACCATTGCAGCACCGTTCACTTTGTCTCCCTTTCCTGAGGGATTGTTGCTTGGGCAATTGCGAGCCCAGTGGCCGATCTGTCCGCACTTCCGACACCGCGACTTCTTCTGGATGTCCGTGAGGTCTCGGCTGAACTGCTTCTTCACCGAGGCTGCTTGTCCAAACTTCCTGGCCTTCTGTAGTTTGGAAATTTCGACCCTCTTCTCTTTCCACGTCGCGGCCAACACTTCAGCCACTTCAGCCTCATCGAAAACTTCAGAATTTGAGCCGCTTGCACTGTCGTGGAAACCATGCTCGGCCAAAAAGGCCTCCATCTCCTCGAACACTACTGCATCGGGCCCATCGCCTCCACTAGGCAGCCCCGACTCCGGCTCATCCTCATCTCCTGAAGCCTCCTGCTGAACGACAAAAGCTGTGGCACTTCTGGATTGCTTTCTGACAGCTCGGAACTCAGGGAAGCAACTGCGCATAGCAGCAATCACTGTCTCCATCTTCAAGTCCCCCTGCGTCTTTGCCGTCACAATCGCCCTCTGATCTGCTGACAGTCCTGAGGCGTTGAGACATACCCAACCTCTGGCCTCCGAGGGGAAGTCGACAGCGACCTTCCTGCGACACTTTGCGAAAGCTTCCTGGACCCTCGAGCACCATGCAACAATGCCCTCATTGTCGTTTGCATGCAACTCGAAAACCTCTTTGAGGCACTCTGCCATGTGATCGTGAGCCAACTTGTCAGGGAACCGTTCATCCAACAATGCCCAAATATGTTTGTCTCCGTTCTCTTCTCGCAGCTTGTCCAATGTCAAATGTTCGGTGGTCTCCAAGGCCAAGCCGTCCAAGAGACAGAAAACAAAAGGCCCACGTTGTGTCGCCTGAAGATCCTTGGTTGCGGCCATCTTGGCCAAAGCCCATAGGCGCCAGCGTCGGTATTCCTTTGGGTCTAAGGAGTCACCGCTGAACCTTCGTTGACCACCATACCCATCGGAAGAACTTGCCATGGCACCTAAAACGCGGAAAAACACACTGCTTTCAGCGTCCAGTCGTTCCTACGACCTAGCTACCCCGGATGCCCCCTATTCGGGGGCTCCGCTACCAGTTTGGAACCACGGTTGGGAACCAACCTGAAAGGAGAACTCCTGTCCCCACACCTAACGGCGCCCCTTTTCTAGCTCCATGCCTCGAGCATATAGGTTGCCTGTGTACGACGAATGGTAACACACTGCTTTCACACAAATATCTAGCAATTCCAAGCTCTGAGAGTCTGAGATCAAATCTCCGTCTTCCCAAACCAATTCAAAGTCCCACATGGGTCCCAGGCTTTGTTACAGGTTCCAGGCACTTCACGTTGCCAAAATCCAAGGAGGGCCTAAACTCACGAGGTGGCTCCGCGAATCCGCTGGTCATGCAGCTATAGGGATGGGTTGAAATGTTGAAGAAACAACATTCAGGGGGCTGTGCCCGAAACCCTAACAGGATCTAACAGGTATAAGGACCGAGTTGTTCTTTCGGGCACAATGTTGATGGGTCGGACTCGTTCCTTTGTTCTGGGGGGTCCAAACCCAATCATTGTGCCCGAAGTATCCCCTCATCCATGGTTGTTCATTCAGAGGGGGTTCCACAGACATGCTTTTTGGAGTCACTTTGAAAGAACACCTCGTCAGAACGCCTCAAAAGTCGGTTTTTTGTGTTGAAATTGAAAGCCGAACTGTTGTCTTCATAGATTGAATGCCTTCCAAAGCAAGTTTCGGATAGGCGGATCGGTGTTCAAAACCTGGTGGACTAGGAGAGAGATCTATTAGTCTATTAGTCTAAGCAACCAAAGATCTCCTGCACCTTCGATCCACAGAGTCGAGTGCCATGTCTCACATCAGATTGACCCGGGCCTCACGACATGGACCTTGAAACCAGTCCTAACGGATGACAACCACAAAGGGGTCCTAACGCCTGGCCTAACAAAACATCGCAGTCCGACAATGTCCAAAGATGCTGTGGTTTATGGATCTTGATGGATCGGATTCGAGGGCTCCTTGTGGATCGGAGACCGGAGTCACTTTGATCATCCACCGGAGACCTGTCCCACGGTCGGTCGAACGACCGTTCCATGTGCGACGTGGTGGGTCGAAGCCACGGAACCAACCCGTCTCACCCATCTGCTCCAAACACCCCGACGGTCGCATGGGACGCCGGAGGTGCCCCACATCGCATTGATTTGCAGGGCACACATCGAGGATCCCGGCAAATCCACCACCACACGAGGCCCCACGGAGTTGCCCACGAGCTGCGGAGGGCGGGGGGGGGGGGCGACGTGGCGATGTGGGGGCACAGGTGACTTGATCCCTTCAGTGAATGCCTGGTACATCCTGGTACCATCTGGTACTAGTAGATCTTGGTCATTGGTGGTTTATATAATCAAGTTTAGTATCCAGTTTATACAGTTTACGACTTGGTTGGATGCGACCCTTGGCATGTGACTGTCAGTCAACTCGTCATTCAAGCACTTGCACCAGCCAACCATTCCCCATCTAAGTTGATCTCCTGAAGATCTCGTGAGGTGACATCACAGATCGCTCAAAGACCGATGGAGAACAGCAACATGAGACGATCGGAGCGATCGGACCGCTACGAACAGGGCTCCTGGCATCGCTAACCCGACTCCCACGGGTCCCCTAGGACCCACCGATCCGCACGGACTTAAGACCTAGGTCCGTCCTCCTCGCCAGTCCTGGACTTAAGGCCTGTCTCTTCCACCCACAGGCTACTGCAGCTGGTCAAGAAATGTCAAGCAATGCCTCTAAGAGGCCTACATTGAATCCGAGTGGACTCATTGGGGCTTGGTCTCATGTCTCTCTTTACAGGTCATATCTCATCTCAGCGATGGTACCACCACTGGACTTCCTTTGAAGTCAGGCAGGCGGTCCAATCCAAAAGGATTGGCGATTGGCAATGTCCAGAAGCCATGAAGTTGCCAAACGCTCAGGAGTCACATGTTTGACAAAAGGGACCACATCTTCTAGTCAAAAATGGGAATTAGATCGGTGTTTCACATGGACGCAGAATCACAGGTCTTCCAGAATATGACCAACATCTGGGAAGATCTATATACTATATATATATAATTGACACTATAATTGACCAACATCTGCACCATCTAGTTCAATTGGTTTAGCTAAGTGAGGCTCCAAAGGGGCAAGCCGATTGGAGGTTGGGGGGTGCTCACTCTCCACGAAATTTACATGGGAAAACAGTAAATACCACTCCGACATCTAACTCCTGATAGCCTTATTCTTATAAATTATGTTGAATCCCTCACTGACTCCATCAGCGAGGGAGTCAAGGATTGCAACAGGATTGCACCTGATTTGGCGAACTTGGGGTAGTCTCAGTTCTTCCGATATCTTCCGTTTTCACATGTGCTTGCTGGCAGAAAGCTTCGATGTCAAACCTCCCATGAATGGATTCTTCCGGCTTCTTCGGCCGCACCGGCCAATTCGACGGCGGAGACCGCTCCCGCAGTGGACTGGGGCGCTTGGGCAGCTCGCGAAAGCACTTCGCCCGGCTCAGAAGTCCAGCTTCGACCACTCCAGCTCCAAATCCTCACGACCAAAAAGGGTCGCCTACGACCGGTCGCCTACTGGGTGGCCTTCTTCACGGGTCTGGGCACTGCAGTTGCTAACTAGACATTTGTATCTGTTAGAAAGTCATATGTATTTACTTTTGAGGATTTGGATGGGCAATCACAGGTGCCTTGGTTAGGTTTGCCCAAACCCAGATTTTGTGTCAACCTCTAGTATCAAAGCAATGAACAAATACTTCTTGGGCTAAAATCCTGGCTAGGATGGATCACCCTTTGGAATGGACGGATGGACAAACCCATGCAACCACTTCAAAAAAACCCAGAGATGACCATTGTCCTTGTACGATCCAATGGAACAAGAAATCCCTGGAGATGCTTTGAAGCGTTGTGGGATCCTGGTGTTGGGAAGGGAACGGAGTTTCTTCGGAAAACTGATCCGCTTTCCAATCTCACAGCAAACGCTGTCATCAACCAGGCACCGTTGGTCCAGAAAACGACGTTCTTGGATGCTTCAGGGATATTCAGTATACAGTATACACTCCCCGAATCATGGAAGTGGAAAATGGCACCTTGGAACAACATCTCTTTACAGTACAGACAGCTCACTTTCCACTTCCAAGATTATTTCAAGATATTTCAAGGAGTGTACCATTCCACTGCCTTGAACACCGTTGGCAAGTACAGTGTACAGTGTAGACATGTGTAGACAGCTGCGTAAACTCTCAATGCTTTTCTTGATCAATCTCGATCCAGCATGGGAGAGGTCCGGCAGCCAGACCAAGCCTATCGGCGGGAGTGATGAGTATCTAACGGGCTCCGTCCACTGTCTTGTTGTTGTTTGAAGCACATTAACGTGGTGATTGAATGGGCGCTGCTGCTTCATCACCAAAAAACTGTCTTTGTGGGAACTCAATGGGAGAGAGCCCTCTTCGGGCACTGACCCACTTAGGGCCTTTGTGGACTCCGGCATGCCAGCCGCCATGACACTACTACCTACTTGCTCCCTGAAATTCATGGTGAAGGACCGATGAGGGAGAATCCACTTCAAATGGTGAACACCTGAGATGGTGAAAACATTGCTTTCAACCATGTGGTGTTGGGCAGCGATCAGGTGTTCGACCCCTTTTCGATTCCAAGTATATAGAGCAAATACATAATAGGTACTTTGACATCCCAAACCGGTCAGCCCACACCACTGTCACCCACACCTCAATGATAAGGAATGAGGGAATGGATCCAAAGGAATCTCTATTGGGGGCTCATTCCCTTATTTTGACAAAGCACCAGTAAGCTCAGCTCTATGAAATCACTGTGAATCCGACCGCCGTAAACGGTGCTTTTTTCGATTTTCAGGCAAAACCCCCTGCCTTCTCCGGAACGTCTGGCACTTCTGCGGCCTCGGTGCGGCAAAGTGGCTCGGGGTTTTTGGTTGAAATCAAGATAAACAGCAAGTGTATAGAACCAGGAGTCGCAAAGCGGTGGTGTTTGGTCCCTAAGTGGATCATGGACACCCCTAAGCTCCACTAAGCACGCCTTTGTGACTGCTGGACTAGACTTTTGCTGGGGGATATGGTTTGGATTCTTGATGATTGTTGCAAAAGTCCATTCTAAGCGGGGATGATATGTAGGAGACCTTTGCTACCATGGTTATCATAGCTATACGACGGCTGAGATCGGAGTATGATAAACCCAAGGTATGGTGACCATGGTGATGCAACTACTGAAGATTGGCACGTGTACCTTGGTCTGGGATGGTCGCGGCATTTCATCGATATCGGAACGAAAGCCGCATGGTACGTATAACATGGCAATACATCGTATAACTTTATGGATACACAGGGATCCGCTGCACTGCACCCGTGATTCGCCCCAAGGCCGTCCGCCGCCGGCCCGGGGGCCGGGACTGGCAGCAGGCCAAATTGCAGGAACCGCAGCTCCCGCGCTAAGCACCTGGCACCGGGTGAAGGTCCTAGGCATCACTCTGTCTTTCAAATCTTTTGCGGTCCAGGACCACATCCACACATGGCAGACTGCGTGAGACACGCAACGGCACCAGTTTCGGGCCCAAATAATTGCATCAGTTCTCGGTCTTAATGTGTCCAATTAATTTGATGGCCCTTCATCGAAACACTTGAGTTGACCTAAAAAAAAATGTAAATATGGAACATTAACATAGCCATGGAACTGTAACAAGTTGTTTCTGGACAGGCAATGTGACTTGCATTCTGACTCATGATTATATATAGACTCTAGACAATATTAGACATAGTAGGCATATGTAGGCATAGCACAAATGAGCAAATGATGAATGCCCCTCATTCTTGAGTGGCTGCATTCCCCAATTTTTGCCTCAAGTTTCAAGTCATCCTCACTAGCACCGCTCCAGCTCCAGTGGTCCAAATCACATCCGTCCGTCTGCCGGATGCCTCCGCCGGTAGTTCAAGCGCCGCTGTGGGATGTTGGACAGGCGCGGGTCCATGGCCCAATCCCTGGCCAAATCGCCCTAAACGAAGCTGATCGAACACCTCGACTGATCGAACGATGCCCGCGACGGCTGTTGGACAGCCAATGGTGGGTTTCGGAATGAAAGAGTTTCGAGCCCCGGCGAAGGTTCTCCGCCGACTTCATGCGACCTACCAGGTTTCAAGTTGGGTCTAAATGGATATGTACATGTTCCTTTGACTTATTCTCGTGGCTATACTTTAACAATATTTGAAAAAGGACCAGGTAATATCTTGTGATCAAAACCCATGGAGGAAGGGGGAATCGGAATCCCTGATTGAAACATAGAAATAAGAGAGACACGGTAAAATGGAGCATTCAATAAGTTTGCACATGAGTGACTTCTTTATCTTGTTTTTCTTTTTTTTTTGCGGGGCTCCGAAAAACCTCATAATATCCAAATGTTTGAGTCCCGTGTGCGAGTTTCCTGATTTTTCAGCTCAGTCGTAGGTGAACTCTGAGATCAGTGCCAGTTTCGATCGACCTCCCTCCCTCTGCCTCGACAAGCCCTGTACTCGGCCCGATGGTTGGCCTCCAAAGTTCAGGTCTCACAATCCAGGTCGCCCCAATCAGAACCCCAACAAGCTCCGTTGAAGAACATAGAACACTGCCTTAAAAATCCTGGAACCTATGCACTAGTCAGAACAGATTTGAGATCGGATACGGTGATCATCCATTCCATGATCTACAATGAAGAATGGTCGTGTGTTGAACAAACAGAATCTGTTTGACCAATCCAAGTGAGCTAACAGAAGCTTTCCCACTGTCGGATTGTCATAACTGATGGGATGCCACCAGTGGGGTGCCTCCCTCCAACAGAATCTGTTTAAAGGGCCGTGCGAGCACGGCCGCAACGGTTGGGGCTTCATAAGCCACACTGCAACGTTGCAACAGCAGTGAAGAAGGGATGATAAGCGGCTTGGGTAAACAACCAGCGCCAGGAAATGGTCTGGAGGGGAGGGGCTATACACATTACTTGTGAGTCCAGTACCCGTATATACGTATTATACCAGGTAAACATCCAGTCAAATCTCCATCGGTCTCTGCGTTGCTGTGGCCTCGTGGCGCGAAGGAACTTTGCTTCACGCTGTGGGCGGCGATTTCGCACATGTCCTGGTGAACTTCGCGCCGGTTCGATGGAGCGAAAAAGAGCAGCCCGGCGGAAGCAACGAGAATTGGGGTGAAGAAGGTCCATGTGAAACAGGACCAAGCAACTTTTTGAGAAATCAAACGAATTGGGGTGAATTGGTGAAGAAGGTCGAACTCAGGAAGCGACTTTTGGATGAAATTGTCAATGGTGGCAAACAGCTTGGAGGGAGAAGTTGATGGAAGAATTGGTCCTGCACGACCTGTGGTTAAGGTTTATTTTGGGATCCTTTTCTTTGCAGGGGCATTGTCTAAAGCTATCCCCATGCCTCAAAAAGAACGTTGAACAAAGCCACACAGATCAATTCTGGCCGGCCGCTAGATCTCTATCTGTGTGTTTTGGGGGGATCAGTGAGTAGCAGGTCAGCCGATCCATTTGGAGACACTTCGGTGAGTAACTGGGGGCCAAACTATGACATTCAGAGATTTCACAGGAAGGCAGGGCTGGTGAAATCGCCTTCCGAAGCCCCCTACGCCAGCCCTCGTAGTCTCCGTTTCTCATCTGGTTCTTGTTCCAAGTGGGATTCCTCGAATCCAGGACAGGCCCCCCCCCCCCCCAGCGTCGTCTTCACGGCGTGTCCGTCATCGAGAGGCCGAAGATGGAGCGAGCCGTGGTGTACTCTTCCAGCAAGGGCTCCTACTGATCCATCGCGAAGCAATTCAACACCCAGAGACTCCGGACTGCCATAGGCCTGCCGCCCCAGAGAGACCCCCCTGGCACCACCCCAATGTATATAAGCATATATGGCAGTCTCTTGGAGTGTCTGGGACACATGAGTTCGCAGCATCTGCAGCATCTGCAGATGCTGGCGATCCCGGACCGATCGGACGTACGGCAGTGCCAGGTGAAGAAATGTGACATGCAATGCTGTGGTCCAAATGTTCAATGCATAGACAAAAAACGGAGCAGCCAAGTTCCAAGGGGATGTTCTTTTCTATTGGTAGGGCATTCATCTTGCATTCATCTTGCATTCTAGTTTGTGTGTGTGTGGTCCCCCTGCGCTCATGACAACCTGTTGGGGTAGTTTTTGTTGGCGTGGTGGTGGCGTGCTGTCTTAGACCCTACTAGACGTCCAAATTGTCGGGAACTTCCACCAAGGGTTTTCCCAGCACCTTTTGATCGCCGGTGGTCGGGCAGGTTGGGGACCTTTAAGGGAATCGGTTCAAACACTGAGGAAACATGGGGAAAATAATAAGCGTCCTATCTGGCTATGAGGACCTACGTCCTTCATCGCTCATCAAGTCTTGTCTTGTTGAAGCAGGTCTATGAAGTTGTTTGTTCCCTATTCACTTGTTGACAGTCATGTCCAACATCATCTAGTGCCCACATTTTGTCTTAATTAAGCATTTTGTCTAGTGCTCGACCTCCTCTAAACCGCAAAACACCCCATCCGTCCTTGGTGGCATGGAACATCAATGGGTCATCCGTTGATAAGGTCACCTGAGTACATGCCCTCTTAACAAACGCTCAAGGCGTCACCACGAAACCGTGGACTGAATCAACATGAACACATGCATCCCACAATTGTTGGCAACTGTCCCACTACATAAAAGGCCTCTTGACCAGCCTCCAATCTTGTTTCTGTCACCAAACAAAACACATGCACCACATTCATCCTGGAACTGGGTTGGTTCAGGATCTTTCTTTCACGAAACCCCATGCACAAACAAGAAACCTGCAACCCGCCACTCTTTGACCCACGCTTTTCCTGCTCTTCTGGCTGTGGCCCCCAGCATTCAGCCCACGCTGAAAGAAGTCCGGGAAGGGGTTCTTGCTCATCTGACAGGCTTTTCACTGTGCAAATGGAGGGCTAGTTAGTTTGTCCCACAAAGCCAGCGATCCATCAAGCATGGCTCCAAAAAAAATCGAGTGAGAATGAGAAAGTATCCCAAACCATCCAAGTCCATCTTTGACTCACAAGTTCGTCCAACTTCTTAGCGCCACAAAAGCAACTACCTGCGATCCTGCGATCCCCTGCGGTCAACCCAGTGTGAAGACAATTTGTGGGCGACAGCTGGGCGGTGAACTCGGCGCAAGCGCCTTCAGGAAGAGCGAGTTGTTGGACAGGGGCGACACAGAGATACCAATCTGCGTGATGAAGTACAAGTACCTGCCGTTCCGCGTTCGAAAGGAACAATGGAAGGCTGAAAGGCAGGCGAGACTTGGCATGTTCTCGGTTCATAGTGCGCCTTTGTATTAGGTTGAAGGCCGTCGCTATTAGTTACAGCCAATCATAAATCTACTGTAAGGACTGCTCTAAGAGCGACAACCAAGCCAATTCGCAGCGCTGCATCTTTGGTTTCTTGTGTGTGTGTGTGCTCTAGAGAAATTGTGTTCTTGTTTGATACATTTTAATACTAATTCCATTTCACGCTTGCCAAAGAAAACACATACTGATGCCATTCAACAGTATATCCGCCCCTTTGGACTTCTTCAGGTATATCCGGCGTCCAACATCGCCAAACAAGTAGAATCCCAAAAAACCAACTTATAACACTCATTTACTGATCGGTAGCATACCCAGATTACTAGATTACCTAGGTATACCTAGCCATGTCCAGCATTTAAATTTACCGTGGACAAACGCAGAGCTGCTACTCTTCTACTCACTCTTGAGAGTCTATCAGTCTATCCTGAATCACTGCTGGGTGCATCATTATCTGGGAATATCCTGACTCTCAGCTGTGCAGTGCAGAAACTTGTTGAGAAGTCTGGACCTATTGCTGTGCGGGTTCTTCCTTGGCAGGGCCAAACCAGTTCCAAACCGATCAAGCCCGGAGCACACTGAGCCCCGGCCAAAACAAGCAAGGGTGGCTGCAACACCGGGCTGTGCTGGAGATTCACACCATGGTTGATGCCTTGGCTTAACAGTGCTGGGCAGGAAGGCACATTGAATTCAAGTACACAGCCTGGAAGGCTGACAAAATCCTGCACCACTATTCCTTCTGCAGGGATACCTTACCATCCACAAAAAGACACCAAGGGAGAAATGGTTTCTCTTGCTGTGTTCCAGATCAACGGTGGCACCCACTTGCTGCAGCAAATTTTATGCCAGGGTTCAGTTCTGCGGTGAAGCAAAATCCAGATCGGAAGATGAGCCCTTGAACCCCGCCACCAAAAAGATACCAGAGGTGATTTGGTACTGACTTAGGTCTTTGAGAAGAGAACGCTCCTAGACTCCTAGATGTTCCTATATGTATAGAATTCTTGCCCTCAGAACGCACCTGCCAAGCAATCGCATGGCTCCCCCAGCCCCGCACGCTCATCTTTCCAGCGACCGTCGGCCAAGAGGAACGTGGTTGCCAAGTGGTGCACCTCACCCGCCTGGCGTCGCAAGGTGCGGAGTTCAGCAAGGTCGCAAGGTTTTGGGGTGTGTACTAGAATAGGGACACCCTCAAAAGACGTCCTGGAAGGATAATAATGGATCATAAACCAGTTTCCAGGGCCACGAGTTCTCGAGTTCTCCACTCCCAGATCTTTTGGTTTCTGACATGATTTGTGGTTCCTGAAAGGAGCTCCATGAACTCAAACTCAAATCGTTTGTGGTGAAGTAAGCCTGCTGGACAGGTTGCCCGACTTCTCCTATAGCAGCCCCACATCGGTAGATATCCAAAACGGCTCACTTCAGAAGAAGTCGCAGCACCAGAATTCAAAAACACGCCCCTCCCACTGCCACGAATTCAGCACTACGACGTAACGAGGTTGTTGCATGTTGTTGTGCTTGAAAACTCACAGATGCGGCCTCTCCGGCATGAGGTCGGAAGGTCAAATGCCAGGGACGCCCCAGCAGTTGGCAGAGGTGGTTCCACCTCACGCTCTTCCGCATCGCGTTCCGGACCGGGTGACCGGGGGGGGGACAGGGGACACTGTCACCGGCAAGTTGAGCAAATTGGAACATGGTTTCAAATAAGACAAGCCAAATGAAGCCGCAGCACCTGGAACCCATGAGAATCTCATGGAACCCAAATTTGGCCTTTGTGGACCTCGTATGAGGTCGTACACTGAGATCAAATCGGCACACGCAGAGTTTCTGGGGTGCGACGTGACTAGCCTATCTCAGCGAAAGATCGAGCAACACTTTACTTGTTGGGGGGTCCCTGTGAGATGGAGACAAACAAACTGTCCCTGTCAAACATTCTCAACCCTTCAATTTTGTAAAAGTCTGAGGAAAGCATGCACAGCAATACAAAAACAATAAGATCACTACGCTATACTGTGCCTGGCAGGCAAACGACAATGCTTGTCTCACCTCTAGAAACACCAGCTTCCGTTGCATCTTCTGTTTGCACGAAGGAAAGATGGCAGTGACTCGAAAGACGCGTCCCTCTTCCAGCCTGCACAAGTTCACATAGATGTAAAACGAGTAATAGGAATAGGGCGGGTTCTCACCTCGGCTGGGCGCCCGGCAGCTCGACGCCGCCTGCTCCCCGTCCCCGGAGTCCCCGGACGGGGCAGCTCCAAGTTCAGTGGCAGAAGATCTACTGGAATATGTGGTGCTCCCCACTGATGAACTCCAGTTGGTGGAGTGGAAAGACTAACTCACAGGAATATGAGCTCATGAGCTCCAGTTCTCCGTCGCCAAAGACGAACGAACTCACAACTCCGTGCAGGTCCGAGCTGTACAGTTTTTCCTGGAGTGTCGGGACAAACGGTCCGTCCAGGCTGTACCTACTACCTACCACGTTTGGCTGGATGTGCGAGACCCGCCTCTGGTTTTTCATGTGACGTCATATTGGAGGAACGACCGTCAGAGTCTATACATGTCTATACTCCAGACTCGACGACAACATACAAACAAACAAAGTAGTACACATCCGCTGATGGTCTCCATCAGGAAGTTCATTCAGGTCCTTGGGGAGTCTGACCAACGTCTCCGAAGGTCCTGTCCCTCATGTCCAACGATCTACGAGTATGCTTCGGAATTTTCAGCTTGGTCTACAATAATCGAGCACCTGTCCGGACAAAATCTTTGAGATTTTCAGTCCGGCTTGAAATTAATTTCTGAGTGGCCCACTCCGGTGGACTCACTCCACCCACTCCGCGTGTTCGGACACATTCGCTGAGGCGTCCGTGCTCACCGCCCACAGCTGCGGTCGCAGCACGTCACCATCGTGGGGCGGCAGGACGTGTTCTCCATAGAGCTGAGAGCCTAGGGGCAGTGCGTGGTGCAAGTGAGTGGTCGCTGAAAGATCTGAAACTGCTGGATGACAATGTGTTTTGATCTTAATTACTAATTGATTGGAGAAAGTTGTAGAATCGCCCAACGCGATTTTAAAGGATTCACCTATATTGCCGAGCGCCAAGTGGAGCTTCGGTGTGCGTTGGGATCTGGCCAAAGATTGGCCAAGAATTCAAGTTGCTGATTTTGTGCCCACTCTTTGTGATTGATGAAACTCTAAGGCAAGACCGACTATTTCCTTTGGATGCCGGAATTGCTTTGTGATCTAAAACTGTTGTAAATCCAGCAGGTACACCTGGTAAAAGCGTACAAAACCATACAACATGTGTCACCCACTCAATTGAGCTTAGCGATCTTCGTGGATGTTTGAGGTAGGCAACCATGTTCCAAGAAGGATCCATATCACTATCACTGCTGAAACCATGGGCCAGAGTCTGAATCCCTTGGCACAGGCCAGAGTGCCAAGTGATTCACCGTTTTGACCGTCATTGTCATCGTACTGTAGACGGGTTCGATGATGGAAGCAAAACAACTCAGTTCCTGTCATCGCATGTCACCGCGGGCCGTGGGGGGTTGACCAAATTCGCTTCGCTACACTCCTCTCCTTTCGCATGGCGTATGCCGGGTCTCAGGCCCCACACAGCTCGGAAGAGGCGTAGGTGTAGGGGGGGTGTTGACAGGTCATTGACCCAGCTGTTTGATTGAAATCCATCTCACCTTCTGAGAAGGTAAGGCATGGTAAGGTCCAGGGACTGACACAGGTATAGCTACCTGTACCTAAACCTCTCAGAAGATTGACAGCAAGCGTTGTGAGCAACTACCCCTCCAGTGCCACCGTCCACCTGACTCAAACACACTCCCTTGATGCTCAGTCTCGTCGGGCACAAAGCTGGTCTGGGACGCTCTCATCGTCCACGCTGTCCACGCCGGTAATGGCCTTAGTCATTTGGCGCCGAAAATACTGATGCATTTGGTATAGGCAAGTAGACTACATTGAATCCTGCATCGCAAAGCATCTGTGGGCACATTATGACGAATTAATCAAACCTTTTATATATATCGCCGTATGCATTGGGCAGGTGGGGGCAGGTGATTTAAGATACAAAAACGACATAATATATAATATGATAATTGATGAAAATTGCATATGTATAATATATAATTGCATCTTACAACTACTGTACATAATAAGGGATTGAATCACTATGTAAGTTGTCTTTAATACATACCTAATCATACATATACATACTGCTACTTCAATACCTACGACGCGACACCAACGGGCACACACACACACACTCACACGTCTAGACAAAGATGTATAAATTGCCTTTTACTAGACGTTCAGCTTATCAGGTTTGCAATGCATATGGACATTGTCCAAAGAAGTCGACAAGCTTCAGGCATGTCAAAAGCTCCTGCTGCTCAAATGGCCACAGTGTATCTGCAACGGCTACTAAGTAACCTCTCCAACAGCGAGGGCCAGAGACAACACCTCTGCCAACTCCTCTGCCTTCTGTGGCAGTTGCTTCCCAAGCGTACAATAGCCTGTATGTTGAAGCATCTCTTCAAGCATCTGATTCCTTCACCCAAACCAAGAAAGGCTCTAGGACCCTAGGAAGACTGTTGTGGCGCGCTCCATGTCTTCTGCCCAGAAGACGTCCTGCGGGCTAGGACAAAGGCTGCAGCGGAGCCCCCGCTTGCAGTCCAAGCATTCCAAGAACAGGTGCCCTCCCACCGACTGGTCGACTTGCGATGCTGTCTGTGGCTCACCACGAGAAGTGCCCCACTTCGTCAAAACCACAAAGGTGTGGATGCCCCGTGGACTCGGTGGACGCCCCGAAATGACATGCTCCGGCGCATGTCGACTCTGCATGGCCCTGCACTGTTCGCTGTTTGGCACTATCTGGCACAGCGCAGCAGCTGTCTGGCCCAGCGGAGCGCCGCGAGAAGACGCGAGAAGACGGTGCGGTGCAGCAGCTGTGCGGTTCGGCGGCCAACACTGATACCGGTAAGTCATGTGGCTCCCTACAGCGGTGATTGCCACAAGCCCTAACCTTTGAATTCTGTCCAGGAAGTGAACATCCACATTGTGATTCCTGCAGCTGCAGGTGTATAGAAGAAATCCTGTGCTTGCCAGCCCATTGAGACATCTCGGCACTGTTCACATTGCATCTGCCCTGCGACGAAGAAGGGTAGCCCAATACCCGTGGTGATCTGGCAATCCAACTTCCGTGACCGGCAGCCACCGGCAGCCAGGCCGTGGTGTGTTGCCGGACACAGCAGTACTGGTCGCCTGCCCGCCCCACCGACCGACCCCCCCACGGCGCGGGTGACCCGTGAGTCCGAGGGTCTGGAAGCACCTCAGCCAGCTCCGGATGTGTGTCCTCAGCACGAGCTCCGGAGGTGTGCTCTCACTGATTGGTGTGAATGGTCTGTCTGACATCTTGTTACCGTCCGGATTTCCAAATGATAAAGACCCCAAATGAGATGATCATGTAAAGACTGTGGAATAGCAACATATATAGTAGACAACCATTACTACCTGAGGTATAACGTATTGTATAGCGTATTGTATAACACATAGCTTCGAAACCATGAAGTGAATACACCTAACAAGTTCTATGCTCATTGGCTCTTATGCAGGCTGGCTCTCTTACGCTCCTTTCGATCGTTTGGACCCAACAAGCAGCTCTCTGAGGATCAGACTGGATCCAAGGCCACCTCCGCCACGGGACGAAAAGCGCTTGTTCGAAGCTGGGACACCGAGTGGGAGAATGGGGAGACATGTCTAGGACGGAAGCGATGCACTTAGTAGTAATGCACTTGTTACTACTAGCGATGCACTTGTTTCTAGTAGGCTGATCACATCCACGTGTTTGTCGTGAGTAGGACGGATTTTGCAGTTGTCAGCGGGAGGGGAATGGTCTTGAAAAGCTAATCCGCAGGAAACCGGCCCCTTGGAAAACCATATTTGGTCTCTACAAACGGTTGCCCACCAAAACCGTACGATGTGCTGGCGAAGTGTATAGTTTCGGAGAGACCTACAAGATGCGAGGGTGAATCCATCTACCACCTTCGCAAAATGCTGAGACGGATACTTGCTTAGGTGCACGTCTTGCCTTATCTGACAAACACTAAGAACATATTCACAACAGTCCAGTCCTGCGTTTTGCCCCCCCCGTTGTTTACGTTGCTTGGTGTTCTGGCTGCTCATCCGCAGCACCACGACCACTTCGCCTCGAAGAGCGGCTGAAAGATGTTGTTCAAGAGCCTGGAGGAAGACTCCACCGGCGCGGTCAGCCACGAAAGCCAAATGTTACTAGTAGTTTCTTGTAACTACTAGTACTGGCCTCCAACCTAATAGCGATGACCTCCAACCTACTAGCTTCTTGTTACTAGTAGCTTCTTCTTACTACTTAACTTCATATAGTGCATAGCCAACCAACTTCCGGTGGAAAACTCATGCGAATGAGTTGGTATGTTGTTGATGTTTGATCAAATCTATGGTCCTGAGTCCTACTTGTATAATCTCGGTTTTGATTCCTCCCCTGGAGTTCCAGGCAGGTCCACATGTAACAGCAACCCAAAATGTCATTCTTTGCCCAAGGCGCTCTTCGAAGTTGCTGATCAATCCACCCTTGTGGAATGCCTCGGGTGAACAAAGGAGAGGATGTGGTGACGCTCACACCTGCCAAATTCTTGCAACTGGCGGATGCGCATAGATCCTGTAAAGCCTAAACATGCAGTTGATCTATGATCAATGTGCAACAACTTTATAAACCGATTTTCACGAACTGGGAAAGGAATCCCTACTCAAGGCTGAGTTAAACGTGCAAGTGCTGCCAGTGACCAATTGCCCACATCGATCATCCCTAGATAGGATCACACCAACTCCACTCTGATCACCATCACACCCAACAAACACGTCCGGCCAACTACATGCTTTTGCACCAGACCTGAAGTTCTCGGGGTTGAGGGTTGGTCTTGACTTGCCTCGACCGGGCCATGAACAGTGTGGGGTTGTCCATTGGCAACCCCGAACGGAAGCAGCTGGTACATTGAATGACCATTAGGCCAAGCCGTCCCATGGGCCGAGTACAGCAAGTACATGGGATCGGCCGAATAAGAGCACAAGTACATTCCATGATCGGATCAATATCGGATCATCAGTTTCCATGATCCGATCATGGGCCATGATCCTTTCCCCGCGCACGCCGCGAACGCGAACGCGAGCGAACCACCGAATCACCGGGTGACTCCAAAGACCCGTGGGATCTGGATCATCCAGAGGTTCCTGTCGCGTTGCGAGAAGCAAGTCCGGCACCCAAACTGCTTGAGTTTTGTGCATTCTTCACTGAGAAACACCTAGTAGCTGCGATCTTCCAGTTGTCACTTGATCACGGCTATTTACAAACATCCGAGCCACCAGTGCCACCGGTGCCACCCCAGTGCCAAGGCTATTCCCTTCAGAGTGACCGGTCGATCCCCGCGGGGTCCGGTCTTGGGGCCGTGTCAAAAAGAGGCAAACAAGTTGAAGAGCTTGTGGCGGAGGTGAAAACATGTTGAAGCACCTTGGTACCTTTTGGTGTCTACATGAAGGATAAAAAGAACTTGTACCTCCTTTTATAGTGCAACTGAGTGCAACCATCAAATACCATCGTCATCATGGACGTGTCTGCCATCTCCCAATGCATCTTCTGTCATCCACCCCATCCAAACTTCAGCCGTATGGCCCCGCAAAAGCACCTCGCCTGGAAGTGGCCGGTGACCTAAGTTACGCGCTGAGGAAGAAAACACGGAAACTCCGGCGGAGCGCGTGGCGTTAAGGTCCACCCGTGTGAGTTTGAGTGAAGAAATCAACAAATATGATTATATGATTAAAGTCAAAGCTACATACATATATATAAGTATTTATATAGTTATATATTACTAATATTACTATAAGAGTATATAGTAATAATATATCAGCTATACTAATTGCTATACTTATTGTATCTTATTGTATAAAGCTTATCTTTTGACTAAATCGTTGTGGTGGATACCATGTTGTCTTTGTTCTAGGGGATTGGGTGGTGTCGACATTTTGTTCCCTTGTCTTCAGGCCCAACTCACAAGGGATGGGTGGCCATGTTGATCTGAACGCAAATCCATAAGCCACCGTAAGAGGCCACAAAAAGGATCAAAACGGTACACGGCCACAGGATAACCAGGAATCATTTCTTGGCCTTCCAAGGTGTGTTGTTGTGGTTACGCGCGTGTCTGACTTTGTCATTACCAAGGGGCGAGTGAAGGTCGTTGGCCTTCAGCCATTTCGCCAAATCATCCCACTCCTTAGCTGATCTCGAACCATGCTCGGAAGGGCCCAACAGCAGAATCGATTTCACAAAAAAACAACATGCCCCTTTGACCCCCGAAACAGCCACTGGGCCACTGGGACAACCACTCTCAAACATGTGGTGGGTTTGATGGACAAACATGTCCTATTGATTGGTGTTTCGGCCCACTCCATTGACTGATAGCCATGAAGAAGCGTGGTGGCAAGCAGGACATGAAAAAGCCAAACTCCATGGAAAAGACGTATTGAAGTGCATCGGAGTGCACGGAGTGCCAAAGGGCATGGATTCCCCAACCAGTGGCACATCATCGCAAGCCCTTCCACAGGACGCAGCCAAGACTCCCGCAGGTTTTTTCCGTAGATCGACAAGCGCATCTCCTCAACAGGCTTGCGACATCTTGCGACGATGTTCGCAAGCAAGCCGGGTTTACAGGCAGTGGTCCTCTTGAAACTCATTGAAGCTCCTGTGAACACTGTCAGTGATAGCGTGGCTGGGAAAGTTCGAGCTGAGCCAAGAGGGGGCCGTATGGCTCATCAAGGCATGGTAGATTGAAAAGCAGATCAAGAAGGCACAAGATTCAACTGAATAATGCAGTATATAGTATAGGAATTAGTAAGAAACATGGTAAAAGAAGAACGACGGCTTTCCGGAACGTCTTCTCAAACAAAGTTGTGGACACATTGAGTATGGACTCAATGTCATGTTGGTACTTCCGTTGTCGCCTTACAGTAAGTGGGCAGGAGAACGTGCATAAAAAGATCAACAACATCCTGGACTTGTCGTGCCTTTTTCGCGACTGACACTTTCGGTTCCCGGCCGAGGGAACGACACCCCCAACCGGCCCAACCGGGGGCGGCCCGAAAAACCCGACGGATGCGGATGCGGCGCCGCGTAGGTGTCGTTCTGTTCATAGCTCTCGATCACCGCCTACGACGAGGATCGGGTGATCGGTCGAGGATCGGGTGTTCAAAGCATAGGACCGAAGCGGTGCTGATTGGGCCGGTTCATGCTCTGTCAGTGGAAGGCCGGTTGCTCAATGACCAGGGCATTGAGAGATAGACCTGTGATTGGGTTGAATCAAGACCTGTGAAAGCACACTTGTTTCCGGCATGATGGGCGGATTGAATATCCTGCTATGAACATATATATATATATATACTGACTGACTTTCATGGACCGTCCAATTCATGGTAGTGGAGATCCAGTTGGTTCAATTCCACAGGGGGGCCCCTCGTCGAAGAAACCCATGGATTTTGTGACACAATCACAGTTGGCTGTTCTCCAACTCAACTCGAGATTTGAGATACCAATCCCATGGAACCGATCGAATCATGATAATCTATTGATCAATATTGATCATGTTTGTCCTCAATCAAATTCTCAACCACGCGGAGTCATTTGTACCATAGCACACACGTGTCCTCTTTTCCTACGGTTCTTTCCCCAGTCAGGTGAGTCTTTAAAGTAGTACAAGGCAGGCTAGAATAGACTTGGGTGTTGCTGGTTCAACTGCGAAGACCCAATTCAACAAGCTCGGATTGGCATGGATGGGCTACAGGTGCCTTGGCTAGGTGCCTTGGCTAGGGGCCTTCAAAGACACCTTCAAAGACCCCCTCCAGGTGTCCAGTTCCGAACGTTTTTCAACTCCGGGCCTTGGCCAGCTCGCCGAAGTAGGCGCCCTGAATGTGGTTGGAGCTCTTCAGAAAGACCGTCCTGGTTTCGGGTCGAAACCGGAGATCCGGTGCAGGGCTAGTGCTGGGTGACCTCTTGGATATTTCATGGTACTAAAACACAAGCATGCAGCATGCAGAAGCATCGAAGGAGTATATAGGACAGAAGTGACATGAGGCGATATCAATCACGGAAAATGCTTGTGCAGGAAGGACAGGGTGTTCTTTCAGTTCATATCAACTGGATTAAAGCGGATGAATCACGTATGTTCTCTTTGGGATAGGGATTGCTCTTGTTTGCAGAATTTGCGATTTTGTTGCACTTGGCACATCTTGACATGCTAGGTGCTTTGGTGACGGCTAATCAAAACAATGTCCAAGCAAACCAACAAACTGCCATGGCTCAGGGCAAGAATCAAGTTTATCACTCATATCAGATCTTGCCACTTGGAGAGGACTTGACAACAACAAATGAACTCATCTCTACAGTAAAACAAAAAGAAAGACATCGAAAAGCCCACCCCACCACCACAGCCCGGTCCGCAAGTGCGCGCAGCCCAGGGGGCTATAGGCGTCGTTGAAGTTGTCGAAGCTGGGGCGAAGCGGAGTTACTGTCGGGTCGGTGCCTCATATCCCATGTCTCTTGGTAAAGCATGCCTAGCTGGATCCATGTCATGATTTAGTGAAAGTGGATGAAAGTGACTTAAGCTACAAATGCCGAGTTCACCTCTTTCGCGAATGGGAATTCGGAGAACCTCATCAAATCCGAACGATCCTTTCCGGGGCCATCCTTTTCTGCCTTCGGGTGACCCGACTGGCAGTACAGAACGACGGGTTGAACTCGTCGGAACGTTCAGAGCCAACGCCACGACGACGACGGGGTCACCCCGACGAGGACGACTTCCAATGAGTTCCTGGGTGGCATCCGTCACCCATTTCAACCAGTTTTGGATGGACATGTGACATGTGACATGATCAATCCACCAGAGTGACATGCACTTCAATCCACCACTCTTGGAATTGGAGCTATCTAAATGTCAAGTCAACAGTTCAGGGCTTCTCCTCTCAAGGAGGCTTGGAATATAAGAACCAGGAGATCATTGAGATCACAGTTTTTGAGGGCGTTGAGTTACAGCGTGAACATCTCATCCACTCACAGGGTGAGTCGCATGAGGATCACAAGAACTGTCACAGGATTCGAAGCCAGCAGCGATCGTGGTCGCTGTGTGTCGCTTGGTGCATGTCTGGGGCTTCCGGCCGATGGTAGAAGTGATCATCGGCCACGGTCCTGAATGCTGTGATCGTCGGTCCCTCAAGGCCAAGTGGTTACACATTGGACCTAAGAGTCCTGGATAGTCCTGGGTGCTTAGATTTGGGTCGCATGACATTCGTCTCCAGCGAGATAGAATATAGAAGAGAGCCTCAAAACCCCCCCAACTGAGGGGCTTGAGGACCTCTCCAGGTTGGAGGGGTGGAGGATTGTTGAGGCACACGTGCTGTCATGACTCTTTGGAGGGTCACGAAATAGGATACTGAACACACCGTAGCTGCTGGAGCGTCAATCTCAGGCAGTATGATATGCATCATCTTCATTCAGCCATTCCAAACAAGCAAAATGGGAAACTGGGTTCCTGAATCAGCATGCCACGTTTCTAGGCCAAAACAATAATACATATAACTATATATTAAACTATATTATTTAGTTGCCTATATTTGATCCGCTTGGAGATATTCTATGTACTATTTTTTTGGGGGTCAAAACGAGGTACTTAGAATATGGAATTGAAATGACGGAAGGTACGTTGGCGACTCAATTCCGTATTCTATCTACTCAAGGATGATTATATATATATACCTTGAGTCTCCAATGACCCTTTTAAATTTGCCTTTCCAAGAAAAAGAGGTTTTTGAAAGGAAGCACTCTTTTTTGCATATGTCACGAAATGTTCCTTTTTTGTTTGTGCCCTGTCAGATCCTCCTTAGACAGTGTCCTGAGACCTTTTTTCGGCGTCCAAAAGGCGTCTTTAAGCGTCCGTGCCGGACGCGTCCGGATGAAGATTCACTCTGCACCTTTTTTTGAGTCCGAATCTCTAAAAACGCGTTTTTCGAGCAAAAACGCAAAAATATTAGACCAAAAACAAAAACGCAGAAAAAAAAGGTCTTTGGAGACTCAAGGTACATGTATTATATGCGTTATATGTGTGTGTTGCTGACTAAATGGTGATTCAGTCTTCCTCACGCACTCCCAAACTCAGAGTGTCAGACCCCTGGAGGTGCATCCTTCCTTCTTGCTCATCGACCTGTTCCGTCTTTTTCGTTCCCGTCTCGGCAGGTCCGAATTACCCAGGTCTCTGTGAATGAGCAGAGACATGTCTCTGGTACTGTCTCTGGTATAACTCGCAGACGAGTCGGACCGAAACGCCGCGTCCGACTAATCCTCGCGCAGCGAACTGATCTCTCCCCGCCTCAAAGCGTCCACATGGAGGCACGAATCGAGGCGCCTCGCGGTTTCGGCATCGCTGGAGTAGGGCGTGTAGGTTAGCAGTTTAGCCACAGCTCATATCTCTAGGCATTTGGTAGGTGGAGTGCCAACAAACTCAAGAGCCAAACATTCCAAGACCCAAGAACGCAAACAACTCGCGACCATAAACACCGTGTGGCATCTTTTCTTGATGTGAGGATGTGAACCCACAACATTGTGATCTCGAGTGCTGTCTGGCACGCAAATAAGACTAGAGTCCAATGCAGGAAACACAAACACGCTGTTTCTGTATGTTTCTGTGGAGGGTGTACTTCAGTTGTAAAACTGTGTGGGTCATCACCGTGTCCTCTCTCTCTCCCTCTCTCCCTCCCTCTCCCTGGAATACTCTATGCTACTTGGGGAGTGTCTCTATTCATCCCCGCCCCCAAGCAAAATCATCGGAAAGGGCGGTGCATATCAGGCCCAAAGTCCAGCATGCCCAGTGTCCCATGATGTCCCATGGCTCTTTGGGTTTTCTTCGGCTTTAGGACCCACAAATGGATGACGAACGTCAAGCTTGCTATTCAGCAGATCGTCAAAGGCACAGGTACACGTGGAATGTGTCCTTGGTGCATTGGATTTCTGTAGCCATAGCCCTTTGGCCAAATACAAGGCAATAGAAAATTGATGCTTCAAGGGGTACTCAAATCCAGTATGGAAAATTTAGCTGCATCTCTGTGCTACTGCATAGATCAATAATGCATATGTTTTCAAAATAAGGGCCTGCACTACTGCACCCATCGGCCGGCCCACTCGCCGCACGCGCCGGGCGTGTGGGAACACCGTTCGTCCAAGCAACTCTTCATCCAATTCACGAGCGCCGCCACCTGACGACTGGCCACTCATCACCGGGCCGGTTGACCGTGATCTTTCAGCCGTGACTGCGAAACACAACCAACAGGTGGAGGCGGACCGTGGTTTTGGGAATGTTTGAACAAAAGGGGAATGTGTTTTGGCTTGGGCTGGTTGGTTGGCTGATTGGTTGAGAGGAAGCCAGCCAGTGGCCAACTAAGTCCGTATATGAGGTGGTCGCAACCTTGACTCATGCCAAAGACCTATGGGCATCTATGGGCCAAAACTTTGCAGGTGTCTGCTATCCAAGTTGTTTGAGACGATCTCTTGCTGTCTTGTTGGATCTGCTTCATGATGCCTGCTTTCTTGACCGAATGGTTCAGCCTTTTTGCTTCAACATGCTAAAACTACCTGTAACTTGCAGCTCCTTCCTTTTACGAGCACAAGCACTAAGCACACAAGTTTATAGTTTAAAGTCGCAGCGTGTCTACATTCTTCTCTGCTCCTGTCCAGCTTCATTCCCAACACCCCCAACACCCTGTTGCACGACACAACTGATGCGTACAACAACCGCATGGACCCGCGTGGTGTCTCAGATCGACTATCTTCTGAAACTGAGGCCGGTAGCACTTGGTGGGATCGTCGCTTTGAATTGATGCAACAAGACCTGAACCAAAACATGTTCCATATCTTCCCAAAGACTCGGTGCATGGAATATGTCTGTCTACCATGATCTACCTGCTTGACCTCTGAAACCAACCCCATCTAGACAATATACATTTTGTCTTGTGTTTGGTTTTCTCTGGAAAATTCAGGCCTTCCCTACCGTACCCCCGTGGATGTGGCCAAGGCGACGCCCATGGTCTTTCCCAGGCAGAGAGAGAGAGTCTCTCGACTACCCTGCCTGGCGAGGTCTCGTCGAAGTTCACCTCTGTCCAAAGCATCATACGGTTGGAGGACCACATGTGTTGCTCGTCCTTTCATGCAGGATGTTGTTCATCAACAGTAGGAGACTTTAGGCTGATCAAGCCAAACCCAGGAAGAACATCAAAGCAAACCATATAGGCACTTGGAAGTCAGCCTCTTCCAGGCGAACAGTTCTTTTCTTTTGAGGGTGGTTTGGGTTGAAATGGTTTGATGGGTTTCCCACAGCCCGGAAGTCTTTGAGTTAAACATGTTCACATCAAAATCGGCACCAGCACCACCACCTGCCAAACCATTGATCCAAACTTGGACCTCTCATGCAACGGGATCGCTGTTTTTGCATACCTTTTGCATTGCTTACAGAAATCAAAGCGCACTTTGGAGGTTTTGCTTGGATTGCTGGGGGTTTTGAAAGTGGAACGGGTTTCGGCACGCGACAGTCCAACAAAAGCTGCAAAGATTCCATATGACCTCCTACAACTACAAGCGGCGTACTTAAGTCAACCCACGTCGCGTGAAGTCACTGGGCACAAAGGTTCAGAGAGAAGTCAACCCACTCGCGTGAAGTTGCGCAACTCGGGCGATTCTCAAAAATTTGGCGTGGCGAGTTTACTCGGACCACCAAAAAAAGTGGTTGCCCAATGTTGCCCTCCATACTCAGGCCATGGCCAACTTCATTGGATTCATTCAGGATTGACACATACAGTCGTTTCAGAGGTTCGATGGCACAGACCCCAAGATGTCCTGAAAAGATGGGTCCATAATTGCACCAACAAACTTGGGGGATTGTGCCATCAAACCTCTGAAACCACTGCAGAACTCAGCAAACGAGTGGGGTCGAAATGAGACCTCGCAAGATCAGGACCAATTTTTGAGACCAACCTGGACTTAGGCGCCCGCATAGGGAGAGCATAGGGAGACATGAACAGGATACATCAATAAACGCCACAAATGAAACGAACATGAATCCCAAATCAAATCCTGACTAGTATTCATTGGTTGCTTCTATTACAGACTGTGGGCCAAACGTTACCAGAAGTGAAGATCACATGCTTTTATTGGACCTTTCATCTAGGCTGGCGGCTCAGGATCACCACAAGGAAAAGTGCCGAGAAATGTCTCAAGGCACCCGACTTTCTCGTCACTGGTCTCTCCACCGAACTGGTCACTGGGGGACTGGGGGTGAAGCCACTTGGCAGCTCATGAATTACACAAATACAGAAAGGGTGTTTACTAGCAATCGCCTCGCATGGCCGCGTCACCGATATAAATGGTCCGAGCAGCCGCTTCCATGATGAGTTTCTTCAAGCTTTTGCCTGGAACCCCCAAAAAGGAGACCAAAGCAATCATAGAGATCATAAAGCACTCTGAAGCGATCATATCTTAGGGGATCCTTTGGGGCAGAAGTAGTGGCTGAGATTGTTTTGTGGGTGCAAAGTGACCGGGTGGGTTTGGAAGGTCACTTGCTATACCATAGGAAAGCATGTTTGGAACCGTCGGGGTTTGTGGCGGCTCGTCACGAGCTTGCTCATTGCTCTTCGTCACGATTGGAGGGGAAACGAATCTTTGGATCTCTAAGATGTTCCCAACCAAGTAAACTTGATGGGATTGCTTCCCGGTTTGTCTCCCGCAACACCCTATGATTTATAGGATGAATAATGTCGCTGTTGTTTTTCTTAGCGCAACCAGTTGCCCACGAAGTAGATGACTGGTTCCAAGACTGAAAGATTCAAGATGTCCAAGATCCTTCTCTGATGCATGAGTGTCTTGCCACTCATTGCAAAGTCTGCAAATACCCTTGACGTCTAAATAGTCAAACACCATTTAACGCTCTAGTGATTCCAGTATGCAATGATCATATGCAATCATTCAATACAACCCAGTGTCCCAGCATTTTGTGGAAGGGGGGATGATCCAGCCTTTGATCACTTCGCGCTCGGGCTCCTTTTGCAACTTCTCTTTAATGAACCTTGGCCGTTCACATGGCCAAAGCTGAACGATGGGAATTGGGGGGGACTGACCAGGTGGATGCCCCAACCGCATGATTGCCTGGGTTTCCTGGATTGGCTCCATAAATCAAAGACCGAGGAAACACCCTGCCAAGTATTCAAAAACAAAGGAAACATATTGACCTGAGCTTTATCCATGCATGCGCATATATATATATATATTGTATTCATTATGTCATATTGCAATATATTGTAATATGCTATACATTGATCATACATGACTTGCCAGCAACAAATAAACATCAGCAGCCCATACAACGAGTCTTGGCACATTCTATCTCCACCCCCTATCTCCCGCAGTAGTCGACTGACCCCAAACGGTTGAGCGACATCGCTGCAGTCTACCGTTCTTCCAACGGCACGCCGCAGGAGACCAGCGACGTGCAGTGACGAACGACCGTGTCGAGCGACGCCAACAGCATGCGAGGCGTCATGGCAGCGGCCAAATGAATGTGGTTGTCCACCTTCATGACCTGAGCCAGTTGGTGGAGCTAATGAGCGAGGCGTCATGGCAGCGTCGCGGTCGTTTGAGTCCATGAAGCTGGGATCAGCAAAGAATCAGATGATGTCTAAACAGTCGCGAAGTATGAATGCTAGCTATCTATTTTGAGTAGCAACCAGTCTCATGTCACCCTGGTGCCCATGATAGATAGATCACCATCCGAATTGTTGCACCAGGATGCGATTTGAAGCTGTCCTCAATTCATCATCCAATCATCGATCTATAGGGATGATGGGTCAACACCTGGAACCCCTGGCCCACCATGAACGCCGCTTCAGCACCGACAGGTAGGTCTTCCCCGGTGGGTCTCGGTGTCCACCACGATTCCACCAGGACCTAAGTCATCCATCCAGTTCGCCCCACCTGCGGTTCGCTCCACCTGCGGTTCGGCACCTATTACCCTCTTCCAGTTGCCTCTAAGACATCAACGAATCACAAAGGCACCCATGCTGTTGGCGGGAACATGGGGACCCCACTTCCCTGGTGCCCGGCGGCCGAGTAGAGATCTCCCATGATCTCTGCAGCATCATGACCTCACGGGGCGTCTCGGGCTCGCGGCAAGCGTCTTGGGCTCGCCGCAAGCCGCGAAGGAAAATGGGACAAGGCTCCCGACTCCCAACCAAGTGACCACACCGTTTGGAGGTAGGCCAAACTCTTGACCCCAATGTGCGTGTTGAACTCTCTCCTGTTTTGCCAGCATTTCAGCTGGCTTGGCAAATCTTGGCAACATGTCTTACAATTTCCTGACAAATGTGGTCCTTCGACCCCGCGTCTGGCAGTTGGATCGGGGGATTCCTCCGGAGCGTCGGATCGGATCGACGAGGCCCGGCCGAACGGGAGCTGTGAAGGATCACTCCCTATGTGCTTCGCTTCATTTTTTCCATGGTTTGTTTTGCTTGGGACATGGAAGGTGCATCTTCCAATGCTCTAAGAGTAGTTGACAACGTTCTCTCAGAACGACGTGGAACATAAATCGTCATGAATCCCAAGCCAAGCCATGGTCCACCATGATGATGATGATGATGAGGAGGAGGAGGAGGATAAGGAAAAGGAGGAACGCGAGGACGAGGACAAGGATGATAATGATGATTTACAGTAGGCAAACACCTCACGTGACCCTCAGTATCTTGACCTGACAAGGATCTGTTCTTCACTGCTGGACCGAGTGACGTTCTTGCTCGGCCTGCTCGAGGTCATAGCTTTGGAAAGAAACGCTAAGCCTGCACGAAAACACTGGGCAACGCGGCAACACCCTGCAACACAACCAATTGCTGGTCTTCCACTGACCTGCAAAGGGCGGAGGGCGGCCTGAGTTCCCAGTCTTCCACTGACCTGTTGGGTTTACTTGCAACTTGCAACCCCTGATGTCGTACATTCTGAAATATCTTGAGAGCATGTAACAGGCGAACTGGGATGAGGATGTGAAAACTGTAACTCTCATATATGAAAACACAGTCAGTGGGGTCGTGCTCCTCTAGTTAGTTGTTGTACCAACCTAAAACATCAGCGGTAGAGTCCTAGCGCTACCACTAGCCGCAATCAAAATAACCCTCAAATCACCAAGTCTCCATGACTTGGCAAACACCCGGTATCAGTACCAAACGCTCCATGTTCTCCGCTCCTTCTCCTTCCCAAACGCTCCATTTGTCGCTGGGCTCTCGTCTCTTGGGTCTGGGTCTGGTCGGCCAGTGAAGAGCTGCCGATTTCGTTGGTTTCCACCTCCAGGAAGGCTTCCTAGTCTAAGTGGCGTCGTTAGCAATCCATTTGGGTTCATTTTGGGGTGTCAACCAGGTCATGAGGATAGTGTAGTGCCCGGTGCCCGAACCTTAAGCAACGCAGAAGCAGCTAATCCACATGAGGTGCCAATGTGCCAATGATGTCTTTCTTGAGCAATTTCTTTGATACATTTGTCCCTCGCATGCACTCTTGTTAGGTTTCAGTTGGCTATTAATTGCGTAACGTTTAAAGATAGTTTTTTCACGTATTTGCATCAGATTCTCGTTTTGTCTGTCGTGTGTCGCTTTCAGTACTGTGCATCCATCAAGTTAACCCTTTTTGGTGCGTACAGTGGACACTCTAACTCTACCATCACGTTGAAATACAGCCCGCAAAAAAAAGGGCTCGCTCTGACTCAGCCAGCGCAGGGTTCAGAGGTGGCGGCAAAAAAATAACTGCGTCCGTCCAGTCAACCAGGGTCCGACCTTGGGGCTTTGGAATCTCTAACAACTGAGCCGTGAATGATGTCGAAGTATTCAGGAACTAGCACGGACTTGAAGTGCCAGGTCGACCTGATTTGTATAATTGGATTTAGGCGTGTGCAACCGCCTCTCCTCAAACACCTAGAAGCGCCATCAAAGAACTCAGCAGTGACCAGTGACCAAATTTGAAAAAGCACCTCTGACTAGCCACCTACAAGGCGTCTATTCCTTAGGCGCCCGCGGCAAAAATGCCTGAATGAAACTGAGGGATCTCTGTGCTAATTTAGGACCCCCAATTGAACAATTGACCAAGCATATTGGCGCATCTCCTCAGTGAATGCATCACGCCTTTAGTTTGTCACAAGGGTGAAACAAGAACGAGAAAAGGCGTGAAATCCTCTGGTTTTCAAAAAACAAACTGTCGTTGGAAGGGCTGAAGCTAGGCCGTTCAGAAATGAGCTAACCGGTTAACCAGTTCAAAAATGAGGTGGATAAGTTCCAATTTAACTATTTATCATGCAGTTCATGTTCAAGTAGAGCAACCCATCTCCAAATATGTTTATAATTTATAGTAAAGACAAACCTTGTCAATCATATGCTTATATAGTACACGTGTAAAAGGTAAGCCACTGTCTGGGGTTCTGAGCACCAGTGATGTCATTGTGCTGGAAGACCGTCTTGGAGGTGAAGGCCGCTACGACCAAATGGCGTGAAACTCTGATGCCCAACCCTGGAGGAGAACATGCACCCGGCAACGAATGGAGACCTCCGTCTTTGTGTTGGTGTGTGACAACGAGCTGAAGTTACGTCATCATGACCGCCATTGTAGTGCTGAGTGCTTCTCATTTCGATCACATGACTTGCGATGATACAATCTAAAGTCTAAAGAATATCTTATCACGTGTGCATGTTCAGCTGACATGTTTCTCCCGCATCACCAGGATGCACCAGGATCATGCTGCTATGTATTTTCTCCGGGCTGGGAGCCCGTCACACAGCAGCTGAAAACCCGACACGAACCATGCATGGATCTTCCTTCAAATGTCTCGTGCTCCTGGCCACACGGGCCTCTTGCACGAAACTCGTATGCTGCGTCGCACTCACGGTGGGGAGGAAAAGCAACTGTACACAACTTCACTGTGTGGAAATTTGCATCTCGATTGGCGTCTCTCTCTTTTTGCTTCTGAAGGAAACAGAATCAAAGTGCAGAAAGTATTACTACTATTAAGTAAGTATTACTATTGTCCAACAAAACATTGACATTTATATACCTAACATTGACTTGCTTGCTTGTCAGACTGCAAGACCATCCAACAAAGAATCACTTTATCCTACCATCCCTAGACACTTGACAGACTGTGGAAGAGACATCCAACTCAGATTCCTTGACAGTCTGTCTAAAATGTGTGTCGCTGCCGGCACACTGGGCACTGTAGGTGGTCAGACTCCAACTGTCTTGAGCACCACTTCACCAAGCAGGCGGAATGAAAGCAATGTTGGCCTGGGATGCTGAAAAAATGAACCGAGTGACTGAGTCGCTGAGGGCCAAGTGACATGCTCAAAATGGACTTGAAAAGGCTAACTACCGACATGTGACTGATTGCATGGGGGTTCGCCCTGAGCAGCAGAAACCGAAGCGGGGCTTTTGTTGGATGCCTGGTCATGTGGAGATTATTGGCCTTCATTGCAAGGTTTTCCGCCGGGTGCAGGCCAAGTCCTACATGAGGGTGAAGGGAAACATCGCTGTCACAGAACAGGAATCTCCCCGCAGAATTGCAAACTCCAGGTGTCCTTCGTCCAAGTGACATGGCAGCTGCTTCACCAGATCATCTTGAAGTGGGTCGAGGCAAATTGAACACAGCCTCAGCAAGTTGTGCTGGCACTGGCACATAATAGGAAAGCGTGCCCAGAGCAGCCACTGGCGGTGAGTTGTGGCAGACTGGCGGTCATGATTGTCGTTGTCTGTGGTAAAACTGCCGATCAAAGCCAACATACACTTCCAAAATTTGACATGAATGGAACTCTTCTGAGGACATCTTCTCAGTAAACAGGTGGTCATGCGAGGCTATGCTAATTTGTGATTTTTTTGAGGCTTGTCAGGCTCGACTTGAAGATCCAATTCAACTTGCCATGGAGTTGCCAACATGCATTCACTTATAAGGTTGTTCTTTCAGCACTTTGGCAGCTTGTGGAACCTCTTCAGCTATGAACCTGGACGACAAATGGTTCACCTCTACATCCTCTACAAATGAATGCTACTGTTCGACAGCCGCGGTCAAAGCTTCAAAATCCTATGATCAGTACTTGGATTCGGATGACTGCATGTTTGATTGTTCAACTGAGGAACTCATACGGGCCCATCCTACCTCGAGGAATCTAGGAGCCTACTTGCTTTCAGTTCGTCAACCTTTTGGACCCCGTCCCCAACCTTTTTCTTCCGTATGTAGAGAGAAAACTCAATATTAACTAATGGAAGATCGGAATATGAAATCATTGATCCCTCTCCGACCTCTTTGGAAGACCAAACGAAAGCACAAAACACCTGCCTCCTGTCCTCGCCGCCCCTTTTGTGTCACCGGAACATTACAGTCCTTTCAGGCCCTAGGCCCTGGCGGCCTACTTCCCACAGTGAGAGCCACCCACAACCCCGGGCGTTGACCAAAAAGAAAACATCAGAACACTACATCATCCGGAATCAGAACCCATCATCCTTAAAGTCCACTGATATCAGGTGGATTCAGGTGGGAGTCTTTTTCTTCCAATGCAAACTCTGCGCTTGTTGAGCAACACTCCAGTCTTTACGGCCCAGGCACTCCTCCGGCGCGACGACCGCATGTGGTACATTGGCCACGCGCTCCTCCACGGTGCGGCCAAGCACTGCGGCTTGATCCTGAAGTGGAGGGTGGCACTCGCCCAAAGGGGTTGGGTATGATATCCTGGGGGGGCAACTCTGCTTGGATTCTCCCAACAAATGCCAGGAATCCTACAATTCCAAGAAATCTTAGCCACCCCATTGCATCTTAGACCCTCAAAACATACAGTAATCTGAAAAAGAGAGAGGGAGGGAGAGAGAGAAAGAAAAAAAGAGGGTGAAAGAGGTGATTTGGAGGAAGCAATACCTTCAGATCGACACTGGGTTCGGTTTTGGATCCACACGGGGCTTTCATGACATGGGTGTTCCCTGTTCCAGCTGTTGCTGTGGTTCTGCTGTGTGCACCTGTCAAGACAGGGACAGCTCATGTGCTTCAAAATGGGATATCTCTTGGATGAACCTGGTCATTGAATTCATCTCCACCTGGCCAAACATGCTGGACCCCGATCTTCTCCGATCTTCAGAACATGCCCTCAGGGCACGCTCTCCCCAACCTCACAAGTCTCGGGCCCAAAACCCGTTGTGCCATGGTGGCCCATGGTTGAGTCTCGGCACCTGCCAATGTTCGAAGCACTCGTGATGAGGATCATCGGCAGCAGCAGCTTGGAGCTCCGCCGCGGTTTCTCGTCTCCTGCAGAGTTTCGAGAAACGACCTGTGTCGACCGTGCTTTCTTCATGGATCCGGGTGAAACAAACAGGGCCTCTGTCGACCATGTCGGGAACACCGGGTCACGGGTGAAGATCTGGACAGATCTCTTGACAGATCTCTTTCTTAGAAAATGGACCAAGGATCTTGCACGCTCTGACAAACCAAGGACACTGCTTAGTGTATAATCAGTACTCATAGCCATGGACACTTGGGGTGTTGTTGCAAATCTTCTTCATCCCAAGGAAAGGACAACTCTGACTCCGTTTTGCCAGGCCATTCTTCGCCTCAAGCTGCTGGATCACTCTCACAGGCCATTCTTTTGGGCGACCACGGTACGGTACCGGTGCGAAAAAACAGCCACGATGCTTCGCGAACAGCACCAGTGCAATCATCTTTTGCGGTGGTCGCTGGGGGCCGAAAATAAATAAACAAAAACAACAACAGGTCGCTGGGGTCGGTTGGATTCGATGCTTGCTCTGGAGATGTGCTTGAATGTGAGGCTCTCGCTGTCGGAATTAAACTGATGCCTTGAAACTGTTCATCTACTCTCAACATCGGCTCTTGGAGCTTACCACGTACTCCCCCGTGCATGAGAAAAGCGGCCAATCTATCAATATCCGCCTTCCCAAAGAGTGAAGCTGGACGAAGCGGCCTCGCTGGACATTTTTGGACTCCTAAGCTTAGGATGAACTTCTAATACAGTGGTCTCAGAGGTTCGATGGCACAGACCCCATGATGTCCTGAAAAGATGGGGGTCCATATAAACCACCGACATTGGGGTCTGCGCCATCTATTCTCAATCCACTATAAGAGATTTGCGATATCTCATCTCAGTTCTCTTCGTGTTCGATGGACCCAGCCCAAGGGATCCACCAATTGAGAAGGGAAGGCAGTGGACGTGGTGGGTGACTGCGGCGGTCCCCTCGTCCATACCGTCTGAGGATACGGTTCATCACAGAGTTTTCAACGTGAGCAGGATGAACGCAGTGAAAGCTGATTGCGAGATGACACCTCACTCACGGGGTAGTTCACAAATCCAATCAGATGGTCTTTGTGAGCTACCTTGCACACCTATCTTCTTATTCAGATGGACTCACCTGATTCTTCAACCCTTGTGGGCACCCAATTGATCTTGTAATTCTGAACACCAATAAACACCCTGCATCCGTGGAAGCCTGGTGAGCCGGTCACCTTCTTTCAATGCGCAAACCAACCGAACAGAACCTCGCTCCTCCATACCCAGTAGCCCACGAAGGCACCTGCCAGCAAGATCGCCAACACCTCGTACCGGTCGACCGACCCGACCACCGATGCGTCACCGGGCGACGTCCGACCCGACCACCGAAACCGGACTTGAGCGGTGCGGTGCTTCCTACGACCCGGGTCGCAACGGGTGGTTCATGGTGGTTCTCTGAGAGCCCGGGAGGTCTGAGATGGAACATAAGACCAACATCCAACATCCCCATAAGTTCGTGGGTCAGTGGCCATCTCAATGTATATCAAAACCCCTTTCGATCGAAAAATCATTAAAAAACACGTCGACCCCTGTCACTGGAATTTGTGAGGATCTCAGCACCTGGAATTTTAAAGTAGTTACATATCGGATCTCAGCGCCATGTGCGTGATGTCGTGCTGGACTGGTAGAAGTTGGACTGGTCAGCTCTATTTCATTCTATTCCCTTCTTCAAGGCAGTCAAACTGCATCCGAGGTCTCCCTATACTTGTATAAACAACCCACGCAGTGACAGTGAGGATGCGTGAACGAACTAAAGACCTCAACGAATCTCTTCGGGGCGTCATGCCCCGTCTCGGAGATGTCCCGTTTGTCTAGGCTCTGTTGGGGGGGCGTTCGATCCAACGCCGCTCGGTGTATGTCCTTTGGCGTGCTTCCAAGGTATCCGCCGGGGATCCAAGACTCCAAAAGACCATTTGGATATTTGGATATATATATATATATGTATATTTATGTATATGTCGTTCTTGTTGGTGCCGCAAAGGCAGGTAGGCAGGTCCTAGCTGAACCCAAACCCTGATGGCGCTGTTTGTCCGTCCGAAGCGCCAAGATCCAACCCGTCAGCTGCCATTGGAAGGCTGGGCTCATCAGGGCTGCAGTGTTGCAGCTGTCAGTGGAGCGAGTGACAATGGGCCGGTGACATGTGCACTTGGGACCCCCCCAAGGATTTGAGAGTCTTGAGGAGTGGAGTGCTACAGGTAGAAATGATTCGGTGGATACGTGGCAGGCAAATGACTCCAAATCACAATAAACGTATGAAACTATACAGTAACCACCTGGCAGTCTTCGGTCAATCTCTGTTTCACATCAAACCTAGGACAGCGTAGCGTGTTCTGCTTCGTTCCGTGTGTCTCAGGTTTGTTTGTAATTCTCTGCATGCTAGATGCTGTGGTGAACTCGTCTGGCCAAGTCATACAAATGATATATATATATATATATATTGCACTTGTTCCTAGTAGCGTCCTTGTTTCTAGTAGCGTTCTTGTTACTACTAGTAAGGCACTTGTTACTAGAAGCGATGCACTTGTTCCTAGTAGCGTGGCACTTGTTACTATATATCCCCCTTGAAGCTCTTTGCAGCTACCCCCATGGAAGGCATCCAAACATCGCCTCTCTCGAACTTCCTCTCCGCCGAGCCAAACAGTCGCGCAAATCCAAGGAATCCCGTCCGGGCCGGATTGACCATGTAGGCAGTTTGAATGGAGTTGTAGGGTGATCCGTCAAAAAAAGGTCACTGGAAGAATCATCAAGAAACCATATGCCCCAGAGTTGTCAAGCTAGCAACCTTCGGGAGAAAAGACTGCAAAAAAAAAAGGGAGAAACAACCACACCTGGTGCAAATGGCACGAAGGCGGAGGACACAATCAACACATCGTTCCGTTCCTCACCGGTTTGGTCATGTTGGGCCTCCTGGCGTCAATTCCTCGCGACATGTGCAAGGCTAAGACGCGAGGGCGATCTGCCAACAGCACCCATTCAGCTCCAAAGGCCACACAAACGACCCCCGCAAAAAAACTGTTTGGCCGTCGATCCAGCCCTTTCTTCTCCACTTGACCGGGAAAAACACCTGAAGCAACACCCACCGTTCCATCCTTTAAGAGCAAGTGCTTCCGCCTTCCACCCACCAGGCGAAGACTCCGTCCGGCACGTACGCAACGCCGACTTGCACCAAAAGGGAAGAGACCGCCATCATGCCCCACCGCCAATGTCACACTCATCTCCCTCATGGTGTCCATTCATCTCTTCATGGCTACATCATACTCTATAGAGATGTTTAAATCCGATGCCATGACCCCAATTCCTGGGCTGTGTTTCAAATGGGAAACATGCCGTTAGTCACGTGAAAAGTAAACATCGACTAGTAATGACACATCAAAACACGACTGATGCGAAAGACATTTCTCGGAAGGTCCCTGTCTCTTGCAACCAACTCATCACGTTTAATTACGCGTAAAAACAATCCATGTCAACGTTCACTGATCCCTGCAATGTTACCCTACACATCCAACGACGCAGTTTAACTTGAATGTAGGAAATGCGACGCAGTTTTACGGCATCACATTTTATTCGACGCTCAAAAACTTCGAGGGGACAGTTTCGTTAAACGTTTCGTTAAAACATGTTATAGTTGTATATATATATATATGTCTTTAAATAAGTCCTGGCAGCACTTGTTTCAACCAAAAAACAAGTTCCATAGCGCCTTTTTACCTGCGCCATGCCTTGTAAACATCCACGTGCCAATCTCTTCTTGGCAAAATGTTGCAGGGGCCAGAGTCACGCTACAGTCACGCTAGAGTCACGCAGAGTCACGCTAGAGTCACGTTCGAGTCCAAGTTTTTTTATAAACAGCTCGCCTGTTGAAAGTTTTTGTTGAATAAAACTTCGAGTAAGGGGGGGGAGTCACGCTAGAGTCACGCTACAGTCACGGTAGATGTAGCTATGCCAGCAAGCTGGCACAACTATATCGCGGGATTGTTGCACGAACAGGTCGGTTTGGAGTCATGACAGTGCTGCAGAAAACTGATAAACAACATTACCACCGAAACGCACACGTGCTTCCAGAATTTGTTGCAATTTCATTATAAATATATATATATATACAACACCAAAAAGTTTCTAGACGATAAAAACTTAGGAAAAGACGATAAAGACTTTCAGGTAACAAAAGTTTTTGACAGTCACATTTTCTTGAAACTTTCGAGGAAAATGCGACGCAGTAAAACGGAGACATTGATTTGTAGGGTTAGGATCATAAACCACATCGTTTCGACTGTTTGTCGCGCCTCTCAAGGCGGTTCATGGCTGTGCTCTTGCCTTCACCCGACGACGAGCGCTGAGCGGTCAGCGCGGTGGTTCCAACCGCTCCCAACGACCAGGTGTTCACTGGATTTATAATTAAGCAACAAAAACTCGGGTGGTGCAAAACTAGGACCATACCACAATTGAGAGCACAAATGGATATATAATACCCATACGAGATGTTTATTGCTTGGATGGTCCAAGATGATGCAAATTCTCACTCTCGACAGCCATAAGTTGCGTGTTTAGACCCAAAGTGCCGTTTTGATCCAGTCCTGACCAGTTGGTGGCTGCCACTTGGCCCAGTGTCCGTTCGGAGAGGCAAAGCGAGTTTTGCCGTCCTCGAGGACACTTGGATTGAAATATATGATAATTACACATATAAGGTAACCCCATAACCCCTTCACTCCCTGGGAACAAAGGAAAACACACAACCTTCCAAGCAATGGTTCTATGGGTATTTCATGGTATTTCCAACGCGTGTGTGTGTTTTTAGCAGATGTGTGTTACATGTTTTGGGGTATGATGTTGGGATATGTTCTGATCTAGTTTCAAACACAAGCATTCAAAGCAAAGAAACAGAACCACAGGTGAAATGCTCTCAGCTAGGAGAAAGCGGCTAGCCACCACGTACCCCCCCGACATAGGCACTTCGCTAGGAGCGGGGATGTCTGCAATGTCTCAGGATTTGCCCTCCCTTTTCCTCTGCTCCAAGTTGCACTCCGGATCTTTGACAATCTTCCACAAGGCGATGAGATCCTCCAGGGCTACCCCAAAATAAGCAAATCAATAAACAACAACAACATGAAATTTGCGCCGAGTGAAAGATGGCTAAAATCGAAGACCGCACCAAGCGGCCCACCGCACCGTGGTTTCAGAGGAAGGACATGGGAAAAAAGGCCAGGTGGAATGCCCATGGTAGCGTTTTCTGGGCTTTCTACTGGCACCAAAGCTTCAAGGTTTGTTGCATCTTTCTGAAAAGTTCGTTCTTCCTGAAGACATCAGCCTGTTTCAAGCCGCTTTGGAATCCGAGCCGCATTTCTAGGTAGTGCACAGGGATATCCCCTAGTTTATCAAGCGCGCTTGCAAATGGTACACCTAACCTACACCTAAAGCCCTATGCCTAGTAGAGCCCGCGACCCCAGTTCAGTGGGGTGAGGGTACCCACCTTTTAACAGGTGCAGCTAGAGTCTGGAGTCGCCCTGTAGAAGCTGGCAGAATGGAGGAGGCCCAAGTCCATCCTGGATCCAGAAATCAAAGTTCTTGGATTCTACATTTTCATGATGCATTGTTACCGTGTTTTTTTTCTCAAAGTCAGTGACTATAGGGAGCTTTGCTTGATTGATATTTTATCGTCGACGATGATCGATGATCAAAACTTCAAGACTGTGCGTGCACCTAGCCATACCTTGACCTTCAGCGGCCGAGAAGGACTGTACGTGAAACAGGTGTTGGGCATCCAACAGTCACGAGACGGTAGAACATCCACCAAACACGATAATCCAAATTCACAAACAAACTGAAGCTGCATCAATCGCTTTTCGCCGCAGCACAGAACGTGCGCTTGGCGGATTGGCTTGCTTGCCGCGGGGCTCTTGGCACCTAAGAAAAAAAATTGAACAGTCTGGGCATTGCCGAGAGCAAAACTCAGGTGCACCAATATATGATTGAACAAACCATCCATGCAAAAAAAGATATGTTAGAAATCATGTCGGCAATCCCATGGGCCTCGACGAAGACACCACACGAAAAATACGGATGTGTCTTCACCTCACACTTCAGGAAAAAGTTCGGACCTGCGCATGTTGGCCTCGGTCTCGGAACGAGTCTGACCATCAGATGGCCACGCCTGAAGGCCCACACAGTGACATACAGTGATCCATCATTCCCTCGGGCGTCTTCACACTGAAGGGGATTGACCCTCCAAGTGCGGTCGGCGTGGCACTGAGTGCAGCCGTAGTGCAACCTACTTGTAGCTGACATCTGAGGATGAAATTCGGTCCATGTGGCCGTGGCGGACCACTGCAGTCACCGGGTACAACACACAAATTTGGATGGATCACCCAGCAAAGGTTATCCCTAACGCCGGGTGTCCAAAGACCACCCGAAAGTGTCGAAAGTGTCGCCTTCCGAAGCGAAACAAATATATATCAACACACAAGTGCGGGTCAATGAGCAATCAAGAAAAAACCGTCGGCAATATCTCACGAATTGTTTTACTGTCAGTGTGCTTTCTTGGAACAGCTGGCAGTTGTAGCATGCGAATCAGGGTCCCGAAAATGATCAAAGGACCACTGGGCTTATATGCAACCAAGCACCCCAGTGCATGGCCCTTGGAAATATACACTAGTCATCACTAGTCTATGTAATCCTCAAATGCACGGGTGGATGAAACTAGCGCTGTTCACCAGGGTTTAACCGCCGCTGTTGCCGAGAGACCCACAGGGGCACACATCTATCCTTTCACCTCGATGGGTTTGGGTTGTGAAAAAGGCTCCTTCTTAAGCTGCGGTTCATGCTTCAGGCAAACCCTGATGATTTCTTTGCCGTCGATCATCTTTGACTGGTTCTTTCAAGTCTGCGTTCTTCGACATACTATGGGCTGGACTTCAACTTGTGGGCTGGACAGTCTCAAATTGCAACGTCGAAACTCACCCGTTGGTGTCGAAACTCACCCGTTTGAAACCTTTGAGGTGTCTGCTTCAGGGTTGTTTCCCTACGACAACATAACATGGGCTTGCTTACCTTGCTCTGCAAGCGGACCGCGGACCTGTAGGTCTTTTGTCCAACGACGGCGGTTTGCGGCTGTTCATCTGACCAGGCTTCCTTTGCCCTATAGTTATATTAGTGCGGTTCTAGCAGTTCTCTATGCTTTATTGGTTGCCCTGCTTTCAGTTGTCTTTGAGTGGTTTTCCGGGTGCATCAAACAATTGCGTAACATGTTCCTCTATTATCCAGACTGGTTTTGGGCCAGTTGTATTGCTGTCGGACATTCAAATCAAGGAATGTAGAGCTGAACATCTGTGGACAGCAGGGGTTGGTTTGTTTGACTGATTCGAGCATGTTCTCAGAGGACATTGCAACATTGGCTGAAGTGCAAATCACCGTACAGGACCGTATCCATGTCGGTCAAGCAACTGCGCACAATCCTGGGGCTTTGAACTTCAAACACGTTTCCATGAGGGAGTCAGCACTCGGTGTGGGTTGTGAGATACCCAAATGTTGTCAGCCTCACCATGCCTAGAAAATCTCAGACCATGGCCCGCACCTGTTTTTTTGACCAGGACAGGCAGTTTCGAGTGCCGATGCGTCCTGGACCCTGGCTACGAGATCTGTCTTTTTCTGTCCGCCGTTCATGAGAAATCTTGTATATATATATATATATAGGTTCTAGTTCTAGCATGGTCATCGTGGAGTAAGTATTGAATGAACACAACAAAGCCAATTGCCAAAAAAACACTTCATACATAGTTATTAACAAAATGTTATACTTATACACTGCAATATATATATATATATATTATACATATACTTAATATTAAATAGTAATTAGTTATAACTATATATATTTATATTATGCTGTTGTCCTTGTTTTCGCACACTGCCCACTCCAGGTTTGTGCAAACAAAACAGTTTCCTCAGTCCTCTTTGGTTCTTCCCCGTTCTTTACGTCTGACGTCCTGTGTATCAACCCGCGTTCAGAAAACAGACCGACGCCCGAGTGAAGGAATGCCCGAAAGAATTCCCAGCAAAAGGATGCTTTAAGCCTTGCTCCCACAAGCAGGACATGTCCAAGCACAGACCGTGTTGCTATTGTTTTGTAGAATATCCATCATGTCCATAGTCTAAGTCCCAATTGAGGCATCCAAATCATAGTCTGGCATGGTTGATCTGTGACACCATGCTGAGACACTTTTTGTTCCGTGTTTACCTCTCATGAATCCCGGCACCCTGCACAGCACAGGCCGAAGACCTTCTGCGGACAGAAATGACCTTCTGAGGCCGAAGAAATGGGCGACACCCCCCCACTGAGCTCTTGGAACTTGGAACATGTTTCTCTTTCACGTCACCAACCACCAAGAGCTTTTTCATGGAGAGTGTTGAACTCCTGATGCGGGTCACGATGATTTCTCGTGGTTCATGAAACCTGCGGCGAGTCGGCGAGTCCTTCTGACCGAATGGCCCGTGGTGTGTTGGGTCACAAGTGTGGCCGCAACGGAATCAACGGAGGGTTGACCAACACGTAGAAAACTGCTTCTAAATGACCTACCAAGTCATGCCTAAAATTGCGGCTCAAGTGCAGAACACTAATCCAATGCCAATCCACCTACTTAAAATACGGTATAGATTGGTATAGGAACTGATCCAAAAATTCAATTAGTCACTGGGCCTGGTCACCAATTGGTTCTTAGTTTCCCACCTCCGAACTGGGTGTCATGGACCGAACTTGTCATGACAGGAGCCCCCAACGTAACATCCTTGTTCCTAGTAGCGATGCCAGGAGCCCCCGTTCGTAGCTTCTTGCTCCTAGCAGTAAGGCCAGGATCCCCTAGTAGCGTCCTTGTTCCTAGTAGCGATGCCAGGAGCCCCGTTCGTAGCTTCTTGCTCCTAGTACTAAGGCCAGTAGGCCGTGGTGGCGTGCTTGTTCCTAGTAGCGATGCCAGGAGCCCCGTTTGTAGCTTCTTGCTCCTAGTACTAAGGCCAGTAGGCCGTGGTGGCGTCCTTGCTCCTGGCAGCGATGCGAGCCCCGTTCGTACTGTAGCTTCTTGCTTTTAGTAGTAAGGCCAGGAGTCAGTCCTGTTTCGTGACCCGCATCACCATCGACTAGAAAAGGTGGGCAGTTGCCATGCCAATAGCTGGTTGGAATTCAAGTTCATATCCGGCAGGAACTGGACTAGCTCCAGTTTTTGTAGGACCTGGTCATCTTCGGAGTGGCCATCTTCTGCCTCCAATTTCGTTGGATGGAGTCAGGGCCCATCAAGATTGGAGAAATCAATATAACTGTAACCAAACTTGCCCGCGGCAAAAGAATACGGAGATATCGAACGCAAGGGCTAGTATATCCGAGAATCTCCTTGGGACTGTCCCCTCAAAGCGGTCATTCCCCAAATCGGTCCATCTTCCAATCGTTCAATCTTGCGGTCGTGGCTGAGAAATATGGTCGAACCAATATGGTCGTGCAAGGATGGTCTCAAGATGTCTCGTTCGCTATGAACATACGAATCCCGGTCCCCGTGGACTGAAGTGAGCCAAAGTACATCCCAAGGACGGTTTTGGACTCTCTATGATGCTGTAGTAACTTATAGTATGATACAAATAGTATGTATGAATATGTCCTTATTATCATGACTATATAGTATGATTATATATATGTTTATTATTATATATAATTGTTGAATTGTTGCTTTCCAAGAAACATCAACCTCATAAGCCATCCTATAGAGGTGGCAAACCTGTTCAGCGTGTTTGCTGTGCAGATTTCTTGAAGCTCAGCGAACAGCCATTGTCAGCGGCCGTCGATAGTCATTCATCGGCTACTGGTCAGCTAACGCATCGGTACGTTGAAATCCAACCGCTCACTCTGATTGAAACTTCATCGCTCGAGGAGTCTCTGTACACTCTCATGGGCCTCCTACCAATATAATGAGGCATGTCCAAATATCCAGGCAATTCGGCGAGCCAAACTCAAATACAAGTTGATTTTGTTCTGTCGAGTCGATCTGTAGGTTTCCACAACACGCCGAACCGCAACTGTCAGT